TAATGTCAACACAAATTTGATTTCATTAAATTGACATAGCAGCTGTAAATATATATATATTTGACCATATTGTGCCGACTCCACTTTTTTCGGATCGGACTAATCTCGTATATACAGATGTAGTGTGTTAAATTCCTTGTACCCCATTCCAACTGACCTCCAATCCTTGTTTCGTAGTTGGAATGCGACTAGTCTAAAAGGAAATGCTAACACAATTTTTTATGCACTTTTCACGTGTTCATTTGTAATAACATTAAAAAAATTATAGTTTAGAAGTTAGAACCCACAAGCAGCCATTTCAAATCATACAAGAGTGTTGCATACGTCGACAATATCATATATATTAAAATATATATATATTTCATTAATTTGGCTTAGATCGAGGTTCAGAAGAATGGAAGTGACAGTCAAATTTTGTTGTTCACGGTGGAAAAGAATAGCTAGGCCAACGTGCTGCAACAACTACTTAAATATTATTATCTTCGTCTTAAATTAAATATCACCTACATCGAATTTGAAACAGAAGGAATAATATGAAATAAAGTCGGCATAGTTGCAAAAACAAAGCCAAAAAGGGTTGAAGCTGCAATGTGCAAATCGCTTTTGACTTTTTGAGAACCCTAGCAGAAAATTGAAATTAGTTCTATATCATGAATCAAAATTTTCACACTAAAGTTAGATTTGCTCCCATGTTTGAGAGTCACCTCGTTAAGACTTAATTCGAAAGCGGAGCTCAGGAATAAGCTGAGCACCTTTGAAGACCATGACGGCAGGTTTTTTGATGAACCAACTCGTTAGAGTTTGTGTTTCCGATCTCATCTGAAACCTCTATTGAAGACCCTTGCCGAGTTGCTAGAGATTAAAGCCTCTTCTATACACCGACTCGACCACTTTTCTCTCTTATTAGTAATGTAAAATAAAAATAAAAAATTTACCGCCCCTCTTATATGAATTTCTAGATCCTTCCCTAATTACAAGGAGAAGAGAAATCAGTTTGTTCGAAGAATGATTACATTAAAAATTATAATCAAAGCACCATAACAAATAAATAATTAGTTAGTTAATAGTAGTAGTAGGTGTTTTCTTTTTTTTTCTTTTTTTTTCTTTTTTTTTTTTTTTCTGGGGTTTGCAATGCGGATTATAGAGACTATAGAAGAAGCTTGAAAGTGACTTTGAGTTGGGTTTAACTACAGGATGTAAATGGTCAGGTGGGAAATGAGCTTCGTCTAATTTTGGATTGTAAAAGTCATGATTTCTTATCTGGATATTATTATTAAAGTATTATACAATTGGTGAATGGAATGTATTATTTTTTCGATTCATTATGGAATTGATTGTGTCCACTTGATTACAAAATATATTTATGTATGTATGTAATGGTAATTAATACTATATTATAAATTAGTAATCATAAATGGTTTAAAGTCGGTAATTATGGATGGACATTTAATTAGTTAAGACTTAAACCGAGTTCACGATAGATTGAGATATATTGCGAGAGTTGTCGTATGCAATTGCTCTCTATCACAGTCATGACTTTTGACTTTCAAGTATGAAAGAAGTATAGACTCTTTTATTAATTAATAATTACTTTGATTTGTTCGGCGGATACCTCGGGATCCTTAAATCGATACTTTGGGTAGTTATGTAATTAATAGTTAGAAGTCTATATTCTCAATATTTGCATCAGTGTTATTTGTATTTATTTTGTTTTGATTATGGTTGATCACAAATTAAATTCGTAGGCCTTCGTATGTTTTAGACAAATGTTTTCTATATATATTTATTTATTAAATTATTATTTTTTGTCAAATAAATATTTTATTGTGATCGAGTCGGAAATAATCAAAAGTAACAAAATAATTATATTAATTATGTTGTCGGATTGATGGCTTTAATTATCCAATAAATAATTAAGCATAGAGGGGTCAAAGTGCAACATTGACTTAGATGTTATTTACTATTTAATTGGAGTGTAATTAATTTCTTTTAGTGGAGTAGAAATTAATTTATGAATTAATTGAATTGGGTCCATGGTTTAATGGATCGGACCAATTATTAATTTATAGGAGCCAAGAAAATAGTAAGCCCAAAAGGATTCTCACCAATAGCCTAAAAGGATTCTCACCAATAGCCCAAGTTGATATTGGAGTCTTGTTAGAATTGAGAAAGTTGAATTAAAGATGGAGAATATTTTATTGTTTCCTTATTCTTATTTTTTATTTTGCCTATATATACATAAGTTCATGTATATTTTTGGGTGTGACTTTAAGAACAAGAAAAAAGGAATACACTTTCTCTCTCTAGATTTTATGGTTTTGTTTTCTCTTCTAAAGGAGGCTACCACAAGCCTAGATTCCAAGGCCATTCATCAAGGCATATTGGTGATTCCTAAAGGGAAGATAATAATCAAGAAGAAGGAGAAAGGATCTAGCTAAAGGGATTTACAATAAGTGAGAATATTCACTTTAGAAGAAAGTTTAAAAGGTTTACTCAGACCTTTGATGTAAGTATTCAATTTGTTTATTGAATTTTACATCATCTTTTATTTATCTTTGTATAAAACTTGTCTCTATGTGATGAATCAATATCCATGATTGCAAATCCCTCAAAAAGTTTTAAAAACTTGCACGTTTCCCAACAGTGACTTGTGTGGAACTTTGAGGTGACGGGTGTATAGGGTCAAAAAAAGAGCAAAAAAAATTTGTACGAAAAAAGTTGGGAAGAGAATGGGGTCCACTTATTTAACACCAAGCGTGTCCCACTGTGTTAATAATGCCTTGTGAATGCGCGGAAATGTGCAAAAAATTAAAAAATTGGGACTTTGGATATTTTTTAAATAAATAATAAATAAATAAATAATTTTATCACAATTAATCCAAATATTCAAAAGTAGAAAAAAAATCATAAGACATAGACGAAATTTATATTTAAATGACTTAACTATTTATAGTAATTGGATTTAAATAGATAATATATTACATATTACATAGGTCATATTCACGATTATAACATGTTGAATTAAACGGATTACACAGGTTAAATCACTCAATGTTAACCCGACACGGTTAAGTAAATAGATTAATCGTGTCAACCCGTTTATGACCCGAACCCATTTAAGATCAACTCAAATCAGCTTATCTCGTGTCATGTTAGCGAGTCGTGTCGTAATTTGTCACCCCTAATATATTTGTTTAAAATTTTAATTTTTGGCCCCCCTCAACTTTATAAAATTTTATTTTTGTATGTCTAATTTTATAAAATTTTAAAATTGCCTTATCTTACAAAAATTTATTACATATTGTATTCTTTTTCCATTCTCCAAACCGCTCAAACTTATACACTAATTAATGAATTTTGGAGGAGTGATTTAAGTGAATGAAGTTAGTTGGCAAAAAAGGTATAATTAGCGGTTCATTAGTGACCATTCACAAGTCACCTGAACATAAATTTGTAATTCTCTCTCTCTAAAACTTTTGCTCTCTTTCCATCTAATTTTCAAGTTTATTTCCACACTCCCCTTGTTCTTTCTCTATACGTGATAATTCTCTCTATAAGGAGACAAGATAATTATAGAGTGGCCCTCAGGGGCATAGTCGCATTGACAGAGATTCAGGAGATAAGAATTTGAGATCTCGCTTTCAAACTGTACTCCAGACCTAAAAGGTACATGTGTTGTGGGTCCGATACAAATGCTAAAAAAAATTTATAGAGTGAAAAAGTGATCGAGGAGAGAGAAAAACTTTATATTTATTCTAATTAATTATGGAGTATATTCTTTTGCCATTTGGTTCAATATCGCACTGGTTGAATGATACGCACGTAGTTTCCCAATTGCTTATCATTTTCTGTTAATTGTTTCATATCCTTTATGAATGATTAGTTGAATTAATTATCACACTGAGAGATTCTTACAAATTAGATTTGGGTGATCTGCATTGCTTTATACCCCATTTTTAGATTTAGGGTAAATTGCACCGACACTCTCTTAGGTTTGAGTTAAAAGACAATCATCTACAACTTAAGTACTTTTTGGACAATTGCATTCCAACCATGATAAAAATACGTACTTATCCTTTGACTTCTGAATTGACCCATGTAAATCATTAAATTACATTTATAACCTCCTATTAATCGACCAAAATGACCTTCAAATATTAAAAAACAAATATGATTTTTATCATGACATGTTTTCTTTTTTCTTTTTTCTTTGCATTTGTGAAAGAAAAATGTGACATGTTGCGTAAGTAATGTTTTAGTAAATACTAAGAAATAAAAAGATTAATTTGTATGTGATTACTTGAAGGAGATATTTAATATTTGAATATTAAAAATACTCTTTTAATAATATATTACTACGGAATATTAGAAAATATATATTTAAAAATTGAAAAGTCAGAGTTTTATATTAGAATTTTGTTTAAGTATTTAATCAAGTAGCATGACATTGACTGTGAAATGATTATATATATGATATTTGTTTATTTTTTTTCTTTCTTAAATCAGTTTAAAATATGAGAACCGCATGCCTTGGATTGATTAAGTTGGTTTAATACACTAATTAACTTATTAATGATTATATATATATGAACTTAAATATTCGGTTTGAGATTTTATTCATATATATATATAGGTACACTTTAAAATTTATATGCAAGATTCAAAAAAAATTTGTAACCCTTACATATTACCAATACAAATAGGATTTTATTATCACAAAGGTTACAGTGGACTGTAAATATCTATCTATATACACACATATACACACACACACACACGTGTTTGACCGTTGTCTCTTCTTGGAATCATATGGTACAATATTTATATTAAATATCTATATATAGTGGAGGAAGGTCTTCCCAAAACTCTTCACTTTCTTCCACACTTGTCTCTGTCTCGCTACTCTTCATCTCCGACGAGTTGGGCCTGAGCTTTTCCTTGTTTCCGTACTGTGAGCTCCGTGCCTTGTGAATTGCATTGGGATTAAGCTCTTGATTTTCTCAGTTTCGTTCCGAGTTTGATCCCTCTGTATTATAATCTGACAATGGGAAGTTGAGCTTGGCTCCGGCTCCGCTGAACTCAATGGCAGCCTTGTCATAAGCCTTTGCCGCCGCCTCTCCCGTATCGAACGTGCGCAGCCACACCCGCTTCGCTAGCCGGGGGTCTTGTATCTCCGAAGCCCACTTCCCCCACGGCCTCCGCCGAACTCCCCTGTACCTCTTCTTACTCTTTTCCTTCTCTTCTTCAATATTTGGCGGGAAAATATTGGTCCCACTTGTGGAACTTTGGAGGGATTGTAGTAGAGCGGTGGTGGTGGGATCATCACCATCACAGCCGTTGATAACGTGCGTGAGAGTGAAGACGATGATCGAGTGTTCTTGGGTCTCGGGTCGAATTTTTTCTGGTCTGGGGTTCATTTTGCTATAGACGTTTGTGTGCCTAACAAGAAATCGTTCTTATTTTTTTTTCTTCATATATATATATATATATATATATATATATATATCAGGGCTTGAGAGTAACTGATCAGTCACGTGGTTAGTATGAAATGGGGTTGGTTGCTAAGTGTTATAGGGCTAAATTACACCACGAATTTTTGCCTTTGTAATGGCACTTGGGGCTACCAAGTCTCAGCCAACACAACAACACAATACACACAGTATATAAATATAAAGAAGGCACACACAGTTTACAGGGATAAGCCCCAACCTTTGCTCATATTAAACATATTCCAAAGGAACATGAGTTCGTACAAGGAACCAAGGCTCACACCCTCATCTCTATTCCCTCTACAAAGCCCACCTTATCATTATATAGGCCACTCTCAAAACCACCCATAACTGCCCACTAAGATGATGGATGACACCTCCATCCACTTAGGGTCGTGCTGGCACCCTCTAAATGTGCCAGCACTATAATGTAGTTGATAAGCCCAACTGCTAGACTTGTTGGCATGTTCTGCTCATGCCACATAACCACAAGAAGTTACATTCTGCATAGTGGAAGAAACCACCCTTAACCGCCTGTGTGTTGGTCCTCTCAGAATTATGCCACATGCTTGGGAGGTTACTCAGCACTCCCCCACTTCCCATGATGAGTGGGAAATGCTAGTAACTTCCCCCAACCGATCGAGCCCACTAAGACACCACCTCTTGTAACCGCAAGTCATGACTTTGTGTTGTCTATGCTCTAGCCACATCTGAGTCAACCTTGTGAACCTAGTCCAAGCCAAGTCCACCAATCTGCACCCACATATATATGTCTCTGAGTGCACGGCGTGCCAAGCCATGCACGCCCGTGCGCACGCTTGGGTGCACGCTGGCGCACACACTAGTGCCCTTCTATGCGAGCCATGTTTGAACCCTCATGCGCCCGTGGCTGTACGCCCCCATGGACGCCCGTGCGCACGCCGATCTAGACGCTTGCACACATTAGGTTGGACGCCTGCCCGCGCGCCCACTTGCACGCCCACACCCGCGCTGCTGCACACCAGCGCGCGTGTCGGTGCTCACTTGTTTGCCCTTCAATATCTTGGATGCTCCCCACTTGTGCAACCATCTTGAAGTGGTGCAACACGTGCCCATGCACGTTGGCTAAGCCCTCTAAGCAAGCCATGCCATAGCCCAACTGATGTGCTCAACAGACCCCTCCCTAGTATAGTCTTAAGGAAATCCAGCACTCTGACAGGAGTAAACATCACCCATGCTTGAGGAGTCATAATGGCCTTTTAGGCCTTTCCTGACATCCAAATTGAGTGCCGTCTGCGCCAACCAGCTTCTATGGACTTAAGGTACCTCCCATAAAGATCCCGAGTCAAAACTCCAAGTTTCACTTTTACCATATTTACGAAAGTGCCACTGGGCACCCCCAGTGCACGCCGAGCATCCTTTTAAGCATCTTGTGTGCAGGCTGAGCATCTTGTGCACGCTGACAACCCACTGAGCATCCTCATGGCTGTCTAACCAAAGCCAAAGTATTCCCAAGACATGGCATGGCCTTGAAATGCCCATGTCTTCCCTTAGACAACCGTCAAGGGGCTAACACTAAGTCACGGGTTGGCGGTTGCAGGGTTTTTTTTTTTTTTTTTTCGGCGGTTGCGGATGAGGGACTTAGTCATGGGTGTGTCGAAAAGAATAATTCTTGGAATATTTGGTATAATACTACGTAGTACCATTTTGTTGAATACTGGTGGGGTCCACTTATTTTAAGCCAAGCGTGTCCCCTGTGTTACTGATGCCCCGTGAAGTCGTCGAAATGTGAAAAAAGGTAATTAATTTGTAAGTATTATTTTTATTTTTATACTTGCAAGAAAATAACAATTATTTTGCTGCATCTACACTGATAAATATTTACTTTTTTGCCCCTATTAGTCTTGAACTCTGCCATTTCACTTGGAAGTTAAGAAAACACTAGGGTAATTTGTTCTTTGACTTATGAATTGGCCCATTTAAATCATTAAAATATAATATTAACTTTTATAAGTTATTTTATTTGACCAAAACAATCCTTAGCTAAAAAAAAAAAGGACCAAACTCCACCTCTGTGCCCACCAACGCCATATGCATATAGACAGGGGCGGAGACAGTAATTTTTAATTGGAGGGGGAACTAGTTATTTCTTAGTGTTACTGAAACATTGCTTACACAAAATGTCACATTTTTTCTTCCAAAAAAAATAAAGAAAAAGAAAACATATATGATAAAATCATAATTATTTTTTCATTTTTGAGGGAAATCAACTTTACATGTGAAAGTGGAAAGGCAAGAGTTTTCAATGTTTTTCTCACAACTCAATCAGGTAGTGTCGTAGCGGTGGGGAAAAGGATCGAAGAGAAGAAATAGATGATATTTTGCTAGAAAACAAAAGCCGCATTGAAGAAAATAAGAAGAAATAAAAGCGGTAACGGCTGAGTATGTGACTAAGGTAATTTTAGCAAATGGATAGTTTTGAAATTTTATAAAATAATACTCTTTTAAGTTGTTTATTGTACAATGGACGATTTGTTAAAAAGACCTATTTTTAAGGGGTAGCAATTCATATTCATGTATAATAATCGTGTCGTGTCGATGTAAGTGTATTATACTAAATAGGTAAACCCAAACCCGACTTATTTAATACTTGTGTGAGGATTATTCAACACTAACCTGCCTTATTTATTAAATAGGTTAACGTGTTAACCCGTTCAATGACCTGTTTATCAAAATGAGACATTTAATATTCAATCAAATAATAAATATTAGGAAAAATTTATTACAATTAACTCAAATATTCAAAATAAGAAGAAAAATCATAAAATGTAGTCAAAGTTTATGTTAAAATGACTAAACTGTCCATAATAATTGGGTTTAAACAGGTAATATATTATATATGTCATGTTCATGATTATGACAAATTGAGTTAAACAGGTTATACGTGTTAAATCATTCAGCATTAACCCGACATAGTTAAGTAAACGGGTTAATCGTGTCAACCCGTTTATAACTCGAATCCATTTAAGGTTAATCCAAACCCGCTTATAACTCGAATCCATTTAAGGTTAATCTAAACTTGCTTATCCGCGTTGTATTCGAGTCGTATTGACGGGTAATTTGTCATCCATATCCATACCTACTGTGGGTCAATCTCTAATGTTTTTAAAAAGGGACCAATGTCAAATCCTATACAAAATTATGGGTCTTAAAAATATATATATATAATATAATATTATTTGTGCCAAATGGACTTCAAAAATATAGTAAAAATAAATTCACTAACAATTTATATTTATCATATTATGTTGTAAAAAGATTCGCATGGATGTACTCTGTAACCATTCGCGAGGTCAAAAAAATCTACAACATCAATAATTAATTCTATTATCCATACTCTATGACCATAAAGGTCAAAAAAAATCTACAACATCAATAATTTATTCAATTTAAATCTTTACATAACGTGAATACGAAATCGATTCCATTAAATGCGATCGACATCTCAACAGTAAACATATGTATATATATTACATAACGTCAATACAAACTCGATTTCATTAAATGCGACATCGCAACTGTAAACATATGTATATATATATATTTGACCATGGTGCCAACTCCACTTTTTAGAATCAGACTATTCTCCTGCATACATTAAATTGCCGGCGCCTTTTTGGCGAAATATCTTCAAAACTGACATCCAATCCCTATTATATGTCTACTTAGAATGCGACAAGTCCAAAAAGGGAATATAGACTACGTCTCCCATATCATATACGTTAAAATAATGATGTATATGATATTGTTGACGCGCGTGTGTGTATATATATATATATCATTTGGATAAGACTAAGGTTTAAAAGAAAAGAAGTGATAGTCAAATTTAGTTGTTCGTGAATCACGGTGGGTGTTGAATAGCTATGAGGAGAAGAGAAATCAGTCAGTTTGACTTGCATTAAAAATTATAATCAAATGACCACCACGGCAATTTGGTCACACACTCATTGAGATACTTGACATTTTTATCGATTCACAATTGGACTCTTTCGATCATGCAGGTAAGGGTAGATTTAAGGGTGGGCTTGAGCTTATCTAAGAAAAAAAATTCTATTAATATAGGCAATTTTAGCTCAACCAAAAAAAAAAAAAAAAACATTTACTAATATTAACCCACCAATTATTAGTCCATCAAAACAAGTCCAAGTTAGCTAAATTTATATTTAATATTAGTCCACTCCATTTATAATTTCTAAATCTGCCCTTGCACTTGCATATAGGTGCAAGAAAACTTTGCGGAACGTACGGTTCCTTATTCCATGGCGTCAGCAGAAGTAAACTTAAAGGAGAAGAAGTAGTATTCAGAATTGCATGCTCTCAATGGGTTCTTAAGAGAGTACAAACCCTAGTAGGGTCCTTCTCGGACTCTCTATCTTTCCTATACAATTTATTTCCATACCGGAATTTCCGTCCATACACTTGGGCCTTGCGGGCCTCTCTCTTTTTTTTAACTGTATGCTGGATCACTTGACAGGATGGGCTTCTCGCTACTCATTTGACTGAACGGCCCATTTTTTTATCGGGCCCATTTGACCCAATTCTCTATTCTCATCTTGCTGCCGTACGTGAGGACACAATTTTTTGCTGTTGTTGGGCCTCTTGCTCAAGGCTGAAATGTCAATAAGGAAGAGAGAGAATGTATATTGAAAGAAATTTTTTATTTTATTACGTAGTAGTATTATTATTATTTAAAAGGATATCTTGGTATTTTCACCTTTTGAATAGAGTTATACGTGTCAGCGGCCTTGATGCATGTGGGTTCCACAAAAACACCCAAATTTGCTAGACAGTCACTATTTCAAATTAATATATATAGTGATATTCTATCCCATTAAAACAGCTAGATTATATTTGACTCTGCTGCAGAGCGCGCCAAAAATCTAAATCGTGCAACATAGGTTGTGATTATTTATATTAGTATTAGCTCTTGACCTTCCTAACTATATATATCTATAGTGGAGGAAGGTCTTTCCAAAACTCTTCACACTCTTCCATACTTGTCTCTGTCTCACTACTACTCTTCATCTCCAACGAGTTTGGTCTGAGCGCTTCATTGTTGCCGGACTGTGAGCTTTGTGGCGTCTCCCTGTCTTCATTTTCTCGGTTCGGTTCCGAGTTTGAGTTTGATCCGTCTGTATAATAATCTGACAATGGGAAGTTAATCTTGGCTCTGCTTGCTCCGCGGAACTCAATGGCAGCCTTGTCGTAAGCCCTCGCCGCCTCCTCCCCTGTATCGAACGTGCCAAGCCACACCCGGGTTGCTCGCTTCGGGTCTCGGATCTCCGAAGCCCACTTCCCCCACGGCCTCTGCCGGACTCCCCTGTACTTCTTCTTGCTCTCACTTTTCTGTTTTTTCTCCTCTTCATTATTTGGCGGGAAGAAGTTGGTGCCGCCACTTCCGGAAGGCTGGTGGAGGGCTTGCAGTAGATCGGTGGAGGGATCATCACCATCACAGCCGCTGATCACGTGCGTGAGAGCCGAGACGATGATGGAGTGTTCTTGTTCTCGGGTCAAATGAGAAGAAGAGGAGGGCTTTTCCGTAGAGGATTCTGAACGAACTTGGAGTTCATTTTGAAGAAGATGAAGAAATTTTGCCATGAAAAGTCGGTCAGCCGAGGATTGAATGGGGAGGATTAGATACTTTTATAGACGTTGTGGGAGTCCATGTGGAATCCAGCAAGACCGCGTTTGGCTGACAAATAAATAGTTTTTTTTTTTTTTTTTTTTTTGTTTTTGTTTGCAATGTGGGATTCAGAGACTCAGAGAAGAAGCTTGAAAGTGACTTTGAGTTGGGTTCAACTTCAGGATTGAGATGGTCTTGGGAAATTGGAATTGGTTGCCGACGTCACTGGTCGGTGTTAATGGATTTCGCCTCGAAAAGGAGGTTTTTGTACGGATAGTCAGAAGAATCATTTTTACTGTTGTTGTTGTCGGAGTTCTATATATTTGATGTATAATTGGGGTCCACTTATTTAATGCCGTATGAAGCCACACTAGTATGTTGGAGCGCCGAAAAGCGAGAGACACGTAATTGAATCCGTAAGACAACTTGTATTTTAGTGTATTGAGTTGGTAGTTTGTGATTGGTTGAATGATTACTCCGTACAATGGTCATTCTTACAAATCCTTGATGTCACAAAGTCAAAATTTGGTAAATTAAGATAAGGTAAAAAAAAAAACATAAAACCTTTCTCAACTAATAAAAATCTGTATTTTACTTCTTGAATTACAAAATCAAAGTGACTTTGAGTTGGGTTCAACTTCAGGATTGAGATGGTCTTGGGAAATTGGAATTGGTTGCCGACGTCACTGGTCGGTGTTAATGGATTTCGCCTCGAAAAGGAGGTTTTTCTACGAATAGTCAGGAGAATCAATTTTACATTTGTTGTTGTCGTACGGAGGACTATATGTTTTTGATGGATAATTGGGGTTCACTCACTTCTAATGCCGTATGAAAGCCATAAATAGTATGTGGAGCGCCGAAATGCGAAAGACAGGTCAATTGAATGCGAAAGACAACATGTATTTTAGTGTATTGATTTGGTAGTTTGTGATTGGTGGAATGAGTACTCCGTATAATGGGAAACACTATGGCTGCCATTCGGGTAGAGGATTTGAGGTATAATTTGAACCCAATTTATTATATGAAATGTTAAATCTAATCCCAATCCTAATCATATCTTCAACCTTAACTATTCAACCCAAACCCAATCATCATTCTATTTTTAAATTCGGACTTGTAACTCTGGCTTAGATTCCAAGTAAAACTTCGGATTACTTATATGCCTAATCCTTACACCGAAAATTTAATATGATCTTGAATTAGTTTTAGATTAAATTACTTTTAAATAAGAAAAAGTTTAAAAACTTTTTGTAAATTTTTAATAAATTACAAATAAATTTTTAGAAAATTAATTCTCAAAAATGTTAACATACAATAAGATAAAATTTAACCAAAAAAAATTGAAAAGAAAAAGAGTAACCATAGTTTAAATATTATATATAATGTATTTAAAAGTAAAAATATATATGAAAATAATATTAGGTTCGAGTTTGGGTTGGTACGAGTTGCTAACACTTCAACCCAAGTCCAACCCTAATTGTAAAAATGATTACCCAAACCCATAAAAAATTGAGCTGGGCTCAAGTTAAGTACGAGTTACCCAATTCAAGTTGCACGTCTAGTTGACACAACCGGGAGTAAGTCATTCTTCCATATCCTTGGTGTCACAAAGTCAAAATTTGATAAATTAAGATAATAATTTTTTTTTTTTTTTTTTTTAATAAATTAGTCATTCTCTTTAATTTCTTTGTTTATCACTTTTTTTTTTTTATTTTTTTTATTTTGCAATCAGATATTATGTGTATGTACATTTGTGATTGACCTACATTAGTTATAGTAAAAATACAAGTATTGCCTATAATTTTTTAAGTGATTGCATTTAATATTTAATATAGGATAATACTTTTTTTTTTCCTAGTTGGGAAACTCACACACACTGTCTCCACTGAGGTTCGAACCGCTAAACCACAGGCCTGTTGGTATATAGGACAATGCTTACTCACTTAAGGTGTATAAGTGATCATAATTACTAATGTGATAGAATTACAAATGCACAAATAATCTTTAATTGTAAAATGTAAATTACATGTTGAAACTAACTTTTTTTTTTTATTATATTTATAAATCGCATTATGTATTAACTATTTTATTTTATTTTTTTTACTTTTTAAATTTCGTAATTAAAAACAAAATTTACATTTATGATTTAACCAGATTCAAGGTGTCACGTGCACTGGGCCCATCAAAACTATCTGTGCACTGTATGCATGGACACTTGCAATTCATGCACGAGATTGGACGATTCTAATAATTCGATGCACGCGGAGTACCTACTCCCGCTGAGTACACTTGTCTTTGTTATATTGGGTCGCCATGCATGTGGGAAGGACAACTAGGACCCGCACACAATCATCAAACGTACAAAATTCCGTTACATTTGGTCGTTGGATTGTTTCGTGGTCTCAAAGTAATGTCATTTTCTATTAAAAAATATTTCTTAAGTCACCTAAGAGGCAAGAGATTCATTCCCCCTTGATTATTTGGTTCGCCCTTAAATAGCAAAAAACCCTTTTGCTATTTTTTCAGGTTTTTATAATCTATTGGTTCTGAAATTTATTGACCAGACTTTGATATTATATTTTTTTAATAATTTATACTAATCTTTCAGGTTTTTATAATCTTCTTATCTAAGCTACTGTAGCATCTTAGAGATACTCATAAAGGTTATGTGTGTGACTTAAAAAAAAAATGTTGTAATTAAAAATTAAAATAAAATAACCTGATTTATAGTATTTTTAAATTAAGAATAAAAGGATCGCAAGTTTCATATTGTCTGAGTAGTTAGATTGTTTTCTGTGCTCGAATCTTATACCCTCCACATTCTCTCTAACTATTAACCCTTAACAATTTTGCCAAAACTATATATATATTAAGATGGATGAAATTAATATGAATATTACTCCTCTTAGTTAAAACATGTGACTTGTTATTTGTATAATGTCAATATCATCCTTCAATATGACCGTTATACCCGTTTGCTTGTAAAAAAAAAAATTCCATTCAGTTGATTGCAAACCCATTTCTCCTCCCTCTTCTGTGCACTGCCCTCCCTTTCCAACTGCATTAGGTTTCCAAGTTTTTAAAATATTTAATATGTTAACGAAAAGTTTTTGAAACTTTTTGTTTAGACTTTTTAAAATTTTCATTTTTCTTGAATTTGATCATCTGAATTTTATTAATTTTTTGCCTTAAATTTTATCATCCGAACCAACAGTTGTTATATGTCTGTAGTTTTTTTTTTACATGGATCATCATCCCAAAAACTCCAATGTTCTAGATATAAAAAATTCACGAACGCAAAAATTAACCATTAACCCCTAACATTCTTGCTTTAAAAAATAATAATAATAATATGTTACAATATTATATATTAGCGCTTGATCTTCATTATATATCTATATACAGTGGAGGAAGGTCTTCCCAAAACTCTTCACTCTCTTCCATACTTGTCTCTGTCTCACTACTCTTCGTCTCCAATGAGTTGGGCCTGAGCTCTTCCTTGTTGCCGTACTGTGAGCTTTGTGCCTTGTCAATTGCATTGGGATTAAGCTCTTGATTTTCTCGGTTTTGTTCCGAGTTTGATCCCTCTCTATTATAATCTGACAATGGGAAGTTGAGCTTGGCTCTGGCTCCGCGGAACTCAATGGCAGCGTTGTCGTAAGCCCTCGCCGCCGCCTCTCCCGTTTCGAACGTGCCCAGCCACACCCGCTTTGCTCGCCGGGGGTCTCGTATCTCCGAAGCCCACTTCCCCCACGGCCTCTGCCGGACTCCCCTGTACCTCTTCTTGCTCTTTTCCTTCTCTTCTTCATTATTTGGCAGGAAAATATTGGTCCCACTTGAGGAACTCTGGAGGGCATGTAGTAGAGCGGTGGTGGTGGGATCATCACCATCACAGCCGTTGATAACGTGCATGAGAGCCGAGACGATGATCGAGTGTTCAAGGGTCTCGGGTCGAATTTTTTCTGGTTTGGAGTTCATTTTGAAAAAAGATGCTGAAATTTTGCTATCAAACTAGCCGAGACCGAGAATGGGAGTGTGGAGGATTTCAAACTTAATTATATATATATATATATAGACGTTAAGGACCTAAGGTAGTCCACTTGGCATCCAGCTGGAACCGGCTGAACCGCGTTTGCGTGCCTAACAAGTAGTCGTGCTTGAAAGTTACTGATCGAGTGTCACTTGGTCAGTGTGAAACTGGGTAGCAGAGTCACTGTCCGCGGTTGCGGCTTTTTTTGTTTTTTGGGCAATTGCGGCTTGTGAGAGACTTGGAGGTCATGGGTCAAGGATGTATCGAAAAGTATTTTCTTGAACTGTTGGTATATACTACTATTTTGTTGGATACTGGTGGGGTCCACTTATTTAAGTCCTAAGTTTGCGATTGTTTGTCCTTTTATTATAAGGAGTATTATTTTTAGTTACTTTTCTGCCCCTACTAGTCTTGACTTTGCCATTTCACTTTGAAAGACAAGAAAACACCAGAGTAATTTTGCACGCACACTGCCACAGCTTTATAATAAAGATTGGTAGACATAATCGAAGGAGAATGTGATTCAATTACTTGTCTCCTTTAAATCATTAAAATACAATATTAATTTTTATAGGTCATTTTATTTGACCAAAATAACCTTTAGAAAAAAAAAAAGATGAAAAAAAAAAAATAAAACTCCACCTCTATGGCCGCCAACGCCATATGCATACAGATAAGGCAGAGTCAGGAATTTTTAATTGCCGACTGGGGTAAGGGGGGAGGGGAACTGGTAATGTAAAATTAAAATTTTAAAATAATATACAATCACTGTAAGAATTTTTTATTTTTATTTTTTTTTATGCATGTTTAATGCCCTCGCTGAAATAGATAGATTAGTTATGCTATATAATACAAAACTCTAACTTTCCATCTAAAAAAGTAAGAAATATGATTTTTAAATATATATTTTTAATTATTCCATAGTAATTTATTAAATATTAAAAGACAATATTTAATATTCAAATAGTATATATCACTTTCAAGTAATCACACACAAGTTAATTTTTTTATTTCTTAGTATTATTGATACATTGTTTACACAACATGTCACATTTTTCTTCCAAAAAAATTAGAGAAAAAGAAAACATATCACAATAAAATCATATTTATTTTTTTTATTTTTGAGGGTCATTTTGGTCAATTAATAGGAAATTATAAAAGTAATTTAATGATTCATATGGGTCGATTCAAAAGGCAAAGGGCAAATATACATTTTTACCATAGTTTGGGTATCTTTGTTCATTTTACCGAATTTGGGGGTGTCATTGTAAAAAAAAAGTGCTTAAGTTATAGTTGACTATATTTAACCCATATCTAGGAGAGTGTTACTATAATTTACCCAAAACACACTACTAGCCTACAATCTTTTAATAAAATTGTGATTAGTTGAATGAGGTGATAGCGAAGTAGATACATGTCAACTTTGTATCATATTTATTTCGGTTTAGTCTGCATACTAGTTACTATATTGGTCAAGATTAGTGGTTCTTGAAGTATATATTTATAGATTAGTTATAAATATATAAATTGGTCAATTGTGCTTTTTAAATATATATTTTTAATTATTCCATAGTAATATATTAAATATTAAAAGATCAAATTTAATATTCAAATATTATATATCACCTTCAATTAATCACACACAAGTTAATCTTTTTATTTCTTAGAATTACTGATACATTGTTTACACAACATGTCACATTTTTCTTCCAAAAAAATTAGAAAAAAAGAAAACATATCACAATAAAATCATATTTATTTTTTTATTTATTTTTGAGAGTCATTTTGGTCAATTAATAGGAAGTTATAAAAGTAATTTAATGATTCATACGGGTCGATTCAAAAGGCAAAGGGCAAATATATATTTTTACCATAGTTTGGGTATCTTTGTTTATTTTACCGAATTTGGGAGTGTTATTGTCAAAAAAAAAGTGCTTAAGTTATAGTTGACTATATTTAACCCATATCTAAGGAGAGTGTTACTACAATTTACCCAAAACACACTACTAGCCTACAATCTTTTGATAAAATTGTGATTAGTTGAATGAGGTGATAGCGAAGTAGATACATGTCAACTTTGTATCATCTTTTTTTCGCGTTTAGTCTGCATACTAGTTACTAAATTGGTCAAGATTAGTGGTTCTTGAAGTATATATTTATAGATTGAAAATATGGATAAAGGAAATAGTTTGAGATGATCAAAGAAAATATTTTTGCTTGTCTCATTAAATTTATTATTATTCATTTATCCATTAAAGATATATGTAGTAACTAAATTCACAATTTAAAAATTATAAATAAATTATTATTGGGTTTTTTTTTTTTTAATTAAGTCTTGTATAAGTTTTGAGATTAGTTCCTTTCTAAAAAAATATTAGAGATTGGTTCTATTTTTTTTAGATATTTTTGTTAGTTAACAAATAGTCCAATAAACGATATTAACTTTTAAGAGCTAAAATATATATATATATATTCAAAACTAACCCTAAATTGTTTTCACCAAACTATCTAGAAAAGATGATCAGAACCCGGGCTTTAATTTTTTTTCTTTTTCTCTGGTGACCAAGAGATCTTAACAGTGCTAATTTTTTTTTCCCTTTTTTTCCTTTTAATTTTTTATTTTTTTGAGTATAAGATACATTTACCTAAATCAAGAATTGAGAAGGGAAAATAAAGACATTGCGAGTGTGTTGTTGAATAGGATTGTGTGTGGAACAAAAATTTTGACTTAAAATAAAAATAAGAAAAACTACTTCATTGATTCATTGAAATCTTAGAATAATATTCATAAAATCAACTTTACATGTGAAAGTGGAAAGGCAAGAATTCTCGATATTTTTCTAACAACTCAATCAGGTAGCAGTGGGAATAGGAAGAGAAGAAATAAATGATATCTTGCTGAAAAACAAAAGCAGCAACAGGAAAGAAAATAAGAAGAAATAAAAGAGGTGAATTTTAGCAAATGGATAGTTTTGAAATTTTGTTTATTGTACAGTGAACGCTTTGTTAAAAGGGAAAATTACATATAAATGGAGTTAAAGTTCCATATTTACTTAAAGGCTGAGTCAAAGTTCCATATTTCTCTAAAATGGATTGCTGAGGTGGCACATGGTTTTTTACTGTTTAGAAATTGTGATGCCTAAAATACCCTTCCGCGAAGGTACTACTTTTTCTTCAAAGGTACTACTTTTTTGAACTGAAGGTACTACTTTTTGGCGTCCAGGTACCATGTTTTTTAAACACTCGCGAAGGTACTACTTTTTCTCCGAAGGTACTACTTTTTTGAACTGAAGGTACTATTTTTTTGAACTGAAGGTACTACTTTTTTATTAGGGAAGGGCATTTTAGGCACCACAATTTTTTAAACAGTAAAAAACCATGTGCCACCTCAGCAATCCATTTTAGAGAAATATAGAACTTTGACTCAGTCTCTAAATAAATATGAAATTTTGACTCCATTTATATGTAATTTTCCCTTGTTAAAAAGACCTATCTTGAACCAATTTCTAATATTTTTTTAAAAAAGAACCAATGTCAAATCCTATTCAAAATTATGGGACTAAGTCAAAAAAAAGCCCATTATTATTTGTGCCAAATGAACTTCAAAAATATTAATGTTATGTCACTAATCAAATAGATTTTTTTGATATATATATTTGACCATTGTGCCGACTCCACCTTTTTGAATCAGACTAATCTCGTGCATACAGATAAAGTGTTAAATTGTGTGGGCCTATTTGGCGAAATATGTCCTTGTACCCCATTCCAACTGACCTCCAATCCCTATTATTTTCTCTCCCAAAGAAGATTGTCCTTGTTCCGTTTGGGAGACCAATGGAATGCGATAGGTCTAAAAAGGGGTGCTAAGTTGTAGCACAATTTTTGATGCATTTTTCACATGTTCATTTGTAATAACGAATACCCAATCAAAAATGACACAATAATCAATTTCGCAGTAAAATTTTTATATATTAGAAGTTAGAACCCATATAAATGCATTGGGAAATAATATATCAAAGTTCCTCTCACCCATCACCCAAACCCAAAAAGAGCAAAAAGGTTGTGGGCTAACATGTTGCAATAACTACCAAATACTAATATGGAATAGACTCGGCATAGTTGCAAAAACCAATGCCAAAAAAGGGACAATGTGCAAATCCATTTTGACCTTTTGAGAACCCTAGGAAAAAATTGAAAGTAGATTTGCATCATCTGCTCAAACAAATTATTCCACTTCTTGAAGCAAAATTTTCACTCTGAAATAAGATTTGCTCCCGTGTTTTAGAGTCACCTCGTTAAGGCTTGATGCGAAAGCGGAGCTCAAGAGTAGGCTGAGCAGCTTTGATGACCATGACCGGAGGTGTTTTGATGAACCAACTCGCCGGAGTTCGTGTTTCCGATCCGATCCGAAGCCTCTACTGAAGACCCTTGCCTAGTTGCCGGATATTAAAGCCTATATTGTACACCGACTCGGCCACTCTTGTCTTTCATTAGTGCTGTAAATAATAATAATAATAATAAATAAAAAATTTGCCCCCCTCCACATGAATTTTTGGGTCCGTCCTTGGTTACAAGGAGAAGAGAAATCAGTTTGATCAAAAAATGATTGCATTAAAAATTATAATAAAAGCACCAAGACCACCACGGCAATTTAGTAACTAGCTTTCAAGTGTTGTAAAATATTCTTACTTTTTATATAAATTGCATATTGGAGACTTGACATGTCATATGATATTTAGACTTGAATTCTAGGACATGATTTTGTGTGGATTCAACCTTACTTGTGCATGGGATATGGTAACTTGTATTTGATTTTGTATAAGTTTTGAACTTATTAATTTTGGAAAACTTATGAGGATATAATTTATGTAATGGCTAGGGTTTGGCTCCAGTACGGGGACAAGAGTCCTTTAAGTCATAAGTGCGCACAAGGTGGTACCTTGTGTGT